TGTTTCGAACAAATGGTTGTTAGAGTTTAACCCCCAACCAAATGTAATGTAATGAAGATAGGTGTAGGGAGCAGGAGGCCAGGTACAAGGTATCATCCGGGAGAGGAAATTCTTCAGGTGTCAGAGAAAGAAAAAGACTTGGGGGTTGATATCACGAAAGCCCTGTTTCCTGCAGCCCATATCAAGAGGATAACATCAGCGGCATATGCCAGGCTGGCCAACATACGAACGGCATTCAGAAACTTGTGTAAAGAATCATTCAAAACTTTGTATACCACATATGTCAGGCCAATCCTGGAGTATGCAGCCCCAGCATGGAGTCCATATCTAGTCAAGGATAAGACTAAGCTGGAAAAGGTTCAAAGGTTTGCCACCAGACTAGTACCCGAGCTGAGAGATATGAGCTACGAGGAGAGACTATGGGAATTAAACCTCACTTCGCTGGAAGACAGAAGAGTTAGGGGGGACATGATCACCACATTCAAGATTCTGAAGGGAATTGATAGGGTAGATAAAGACAGGCTATTTAAACACAAGGGGAACACTCACAAGTGGACACAGGTGGAAACTGAGTGCCCAAATGAGCCACAGAGATATTATAAAGAACTTTTTTTAGTGTCAGAGTGGTTGACAAATGGAATGCATTAGGAAGTGATGTGGTGGAGGCTGACTCCATATACACAGCTAGGCTCAGGAATCTGTACACCTGTTGATTGACGGTTGAGAGGCGGGACCAAAGAGCCAGAGCTCAACCCCCGCAAACACAACTAGGTGAGTACACACAACACTCACGCATAACACAAACACACACCACACACACACACACACACACACACACACACACACACACACACACACACACAACACACACACACACACACACACACCACACACACACACACACACACACACACACACAGGGACTGGAGGAAAGAAGATTGTAGTCTTGATACTCAACAATCCCCCAACAAACAGTAGAAGGCCCCGGCAGGAGTATGATGACAACAACAAGGCATGTATAGATGAACTGCAGAAGGCAGCAACATTAGCTCACAGAATGAGAGCGAAGCTGCTGGTCATTGGGTACCTAAATCACGGAGAGATAAATTGGGAAGCAAGGAATCCCCCATGGCAGGAAGGAGACGTGGGGAGAGAAGCTGGTAGACGTTATTGACTGGAATTTCCTAACACAACATGTGAAGAAAGACACTAGGGAAAGAGGAGGGGATACGCCCAGCCTATTAGATCTCATTTTCGTTCAGAACGAAGAAGACATCGAGCATTTGGAACATGAAATACCACTAGGAGACAGTGACCATTGTGTCCTAGTCTTTGACTACATGATGGAACTTAAAATTGTGACCAAAGGACAAGAGGTCCTGGCAAGGAGACTCGATTACAGAAAAGGGGACTACAGAAGGATAAGGGGCTACCTGGGAGAAGTGCAGTAGGAGGAAGAAATTAGAGGAAAAACAGTGCAAGATATGATGAATCTAGTCATATGGAAATGCAAGAAGGCTGAAGATAGATTTATTCCAACGGTAAAGGAAAAAAGCAGGAGGGAATATAATAACCCATGGTTTAATAGACAGTGTCAGGAAGCAAAGGTGAGAAGCAGGAGGGAGTGGAAGAAGTACAGAAGACAAAGGACAGAGGACAACAGGATTAGATGTAACAGAGCTAGGAATGATTACATTAACATAAGACGAGTGTCGGAAAGAAATTATGAGAACGATATTGCAATCTAAGCGAAAAAAACAACCTAAATTACTACATAGCCATATAAGAAGGAAGATGTCGGTAAATGACCAAGTGACAAGACTGAGGAAAACAGAAGGGGCATATACAGAAAGCGACAAAGAAATCTGCGAGGTACTGAATGCCAGTTTCCATGGAGTGTTCATAACCAAGCCTGAGCAGCTCCCATTGTTAGAAGAGATTACCCTAGATGAAAGACTGTCAGATATAGAGGTGACAGCAGAGGAGGTCATGAAACAGTTGACAACACTAGATGCAACTAAAGCGGTTGGACCAGACAAAGTATCACCGTGGATACTAAAAGAGGCAGCGCAGGCTCTCAGCGTGCCTCTGGCAATGATCTTTAATGAGTCACTTATGTCGGGAGAATTGTCCAGTTGCTGGGAGGAGGCAAATGTCGTACCGATTTTCAAGAAAGGTGATAGGGAGGAGGCACTTAACTACAGACCCGTATCACTGACAAACATCCCCTGCAAAATACTTGAAAGAATAATTAGGCTAAGACTTGTTGAGCACCTGGAGAGCATTTGGTTTGTAAACAAGCACCAACATGGGTTCTCGACAGGGAAATCATGCCTAACAAACCTTTTGGAATTATATGATAAAGTAACAAGGATAAGGCAGGACAGAGAAGTTTGGGCAGACTGCATATTTCTTGACTGCCAAAAAGCCTTTGATACAGTACCGCATATGAGACTGTTATACAAACTTGAGAGGCAGGCAGGAGTAAGCGGAAAGGCCCTAGTATGGGCGAGGAACTACCTAACAGGAAGGAGCCAGAGGGTAATGGTATGGGGCGAGAAGTCGGACTGGCAAACTGTAACGAATGGAGTACCTCAAGGATCGGTGCTGGGACCAATCCTCTTTCTAATTTACGTAAATGATATGTTTACAGGAGTAGAATCCTACATGTCAATGTTCGCAGATGACGCAAAATTAATGAGAAGAGTTGTGAAAGATGAAGATTGTAGGATCCTCCAAGAGGACCTGGACAGGTTACAGAGATGGTCAGAGAAATGGCTACTGGAGATCAACACGAGTAAATGTAAAGTTATGGAAATGGGATCAGGTGATAGGAGACCAAAGGGACAGTACACAATGAAGGGGAACAGCCTACCTGTAACGATTCGAGAAAGAGACCTGGGAGTGGATGTGACACCTAATCTAACTCCTGAGGCACATATAAATAGGATAACGACAGCAGCGAAAACTGGCGACTACACTGGCGAAAATTAGAACTTCATTTAAATACCTAAGTGAGGAGGCATTTAGGGCGCTTTACACTGCCTACGTGAGACCCGTCTTAGAGTATGTCGCGCCATCATGGAGTCCCCACCTGAAGAAACACATAAGGAAACTGGAGAAGGTTCAGAGGTTTGCGACGAGGCTTGTCCCAGAGTTACGAGCTATGGGATATGAAGAGCGTCTGAAGGAACTGAACCTTACGACACTAGAGAAAAGAAGGAAGAGAGGAGATATGATAGGGACATATAAAATACTCAGGGAAATTGACAAAGTGGAAATAGATGAAATGTTCACACGTAATAATAACAGAACGAGGGGACATGGGTGGAAACTGGAAACTCAGATGAGTTACAGAGATGTTAGGAAGTTTTCTTTTAGCGTGAGAGTAGTGGAAAAATGGAATGCACTTAAGGAGCAGGTTGTGGAAGCAAACTCTATTCATAATTTTAAAATTAAGTATGATAGGGAAATGGGACAGGAATCATTGCTGTAAACAACCGATGGCTGGAAAGGTGGGATCCAAGAGTCAATGCTCGATCCTTCAAGCACAATTAGGTGAGTACACACCGCCCCCTGTGGTGGAGGCTGACTCCATAACCAGCTTCAAGTGTAGATATGATAGAGCCCAGTAGGCTCAGGAATCTATACACAAGTTGATAGACACACACACATTCCCCAGAGGGAATAGACTCGTCCCTCTCAATGTTTGCTGATGATGCAAAAATTATAAGAAAGATCAAGGCAGAGGACAATATTGAGCCAACAAGATGACCTAGACAAACTGAAGGAATGATCCAACAAATGGCTACTAAATTTCAACTCGAGTAAATTTAAGGTAATGAAACTAGAAGGAGGAACTAGTAGGCCAGACGCAGGATACAGAATGGGAGATGAAGTCCTTCACGAAACGGACAGAGAGAAGGATCTAGGAGTTGATATCACACCAAACCTGTCTCCTGAAGCCCACATAAAAGAATAACATCGGCGGCGTATGCGAGGCTGGCTAACATCAGAACTGCCTACAGGAACCTGTGTAAGGAATCCTTCAGAACCTTGTATACCACCAGTGTAAGACCAATCCTGGAGTATGCGGCCCCAGCATGGAGTCCGTACCTTGTGAAGCACAAGACGAAGTTGGAAAAAGTTCAGAGGGTATACCACTAGACTAGTCCCAGAACTAAGAGGTTACAAGGAAAGGCTTCGTGAAATGCACCTCACGACACTGGAAGACAAAAGAGTAAGGGGAGAAGTGATCACTACCTACAAAATACTAGGGTATAGGGTAATACTTAGGGTAGGCAAGAATTGATTATTTAACACGGGTGGTACACGAACAAGGGGACACAGGTGGAAACGTAGTACCCAAATGAGCCACAGAGTCATTAAAAAAAACCTTTTTAGTGTCAGAGTAGTTAGTAAATGGAATGCACTAGGCAGTGATGTGGTGGAGGTTGACTCCATACACAGTTTCAAAGTTTCAAATGTAGATATGATAGAGCTCGAGAAGTTCAGGAATCTGTACACCAGTAGATTGACGGTTGAGAGACGAGAGCAAAGTACCAAAGCTCAACCCCGCAAGCACAACTAGGTGAGAACAGCTAGGTGAGTTCACACGCTGTAAACAATACACACCAAGACTCAGGTACCCGGGTATCGAGACCAATCTACTCATCTAAATCATTATACAACATGGTGTATAATACAACTAGTTATCTAAATTATACAACATAGTGTATAACACAACATAGTTGTCTAAACTAGTAAATATTTTACTGTTGTTTCTGAACAATTAAAACATGGAACCGTCTCATTCATTAATGATAACGTTGATTGTTAATTCCTATCTAACAACTTTTTGTTGTTGTTGTTAATTGTGCAGAGATAGGGCCTCATACCCCCCCCCCCCGGGGTACAGATACCCCAGGGGTACAGATACCCCGGGGTACAGATACCCCAGGGGTACAATTACCCCGGGGTACAGCTACCCCGGGGTACAGATACCCCGGGATACAGATACCCCGGGGTACAGATACCCCGAGGTACAGATACCCCGGGGTACAGATACCCCGGGGTACAGATCACCCGGGGTAGAGATACCCCGGGGTACAGCATCCCCGGGGTACAGATACCCCGGGATACAGATACCCCGGGGTACAGATACCCCGAGGTACAGATACCCCGGGGTACAGATCACCCGGGGTACAGATCACCCGGGGTACAGATACCCCGGGATACAGATACCCCGGGGTACAGATACCCCGAGGAACAGATACCCCGGGGTACAGATCACCCGGGGTACAGATCACCCGGGGTAGAGATACCCCGGGGAATCTGGGCTCCCACAAGTGTAATGTCACTTGTGAGATCTATATAAACCTCTTTAAGTAACCTCTTTGACCAAGACAACCCGGCATACACCAGCCTTGAACTTATACTTATTAAGGCCTCAGGTTTGAAGTAATATATAGTCAATACAATTCTAAAACGTGAAATTTGGAAATTTTACACAATTTACATTACATAAAAGTTATAAAATAATAGAAATGATTAAGGCAAATGTCTTAATTCAGACAACCACCTACCATAAAAAGGAATAACAACTAAGTCACCACTGGTCTAAATTCAGGAGCCTCTCTCTATAACACCAAGTCCACCACTGGTATAAACAGGAGCCTTTCTCTATAACAACCAAGTCCACCACTGGTATAAACAGGAGCCTCTCTCCATAACAACCAGTCCACCACTGGTATAAACAGGAGCCTTTCTCTATAACAACCACCTCCACCACTGGTATAAACAGGAGCCTCTCTCTATACTCTGGTATAACAAGCCTCTCTCTATAAGTCCACCACTGGTATAAACAGGAGCCTCTCTCTATAACAACCAAGTCCACCACTGGTATAAACAGGAGCCTCTCTATAACAACCAAGTCCACCACTGGTATAAACAGGAGCCTCTCTCTATAACAACCAAGTCCACCACTGGTATAAACAGGAGCCTCTCTCTATAACAACCAAGTCCACCACTGGTATAAACAGGAGCCTCACTCTATAACAACCAAGTCCACCACTGGTATAAACAGGAGCCTCACTCCATAACACCAAGTCCACCACTGGTATAAACAGGAGCCTCAGGAGCTCTCTCTAACAACTAAGTCCACCACTGGTATAAACAGGAGCCTTTCTCTATAACAACCAAGTCCACCACTGGTATAAACAGGAGCCTCTCTCTATAACAACCAAGTCCACCACTGGTATAAACAGGAGCCTCACTCTATAACAACCAAGTCCACCACTGGTATAAACAGGAGCCTCACTCCATAACAACCAAGTCCACCACTGGTATAAACAGGAGCCTCTCTCTATAACAACCAAGTCCACCACTGGTATAAACAGGAGCCTCTCTCTATAACAACCAAGTCCACCACTGGTATAAACAGGAGCCTCTCTCTATAACAACCAAGTCCACCACTGGTATAAACAGGAGCCTCTCTCCATAACAACCAAGTCCACCACTGGTATAAACAGGAGCCTCTCTCTATAACAACCAAGTCCACCACTGGTATAAACAGGAGCCTCACTCCATAACAACCAAGTCCACCACTGGTATAAACAGGAGCCTCTCTCCATAACAACCAAGTCCACCACTGGTATAAACAGGAGCCTCACTCCATAACAACCAAGTCCACCACTGGTATAAACAGGAGCCTCTCTCCATAACAACAATGGCATCCTCTCAACAGGATAAAGTGTCATGTGATATGGTTCGCACTTATAGAGTTTCCCTTTATGCCGGCAGGAAACCTTTTAGGCTTATGGAGGACTGCCCACCCCCACCCTAGGCCATGTCTCAACCGGTTAGGGGCAGGGGGGAAGAGGGACTAACCCCAGGGGGAATTTTAGGGTTTCATAGAGGGGGGAGGGGAAGGGGGGGCATGGGGGGGGGAGTGGAATTAAACCACAGACTCAAACGTTTGGAATAAAATCCATCATTATTTTCTTTTTTTGTTAAATTGTCAAAACTCAACTATAAGAATAATCCGGAAAACTAAATATGGAGTAAGATTTGTCAGTATTACTGCATATAGGCCTATTAGTGGGTTATCTTGAGGTTATCTTGAGATGATTTCGGGGCTTTTAGTGTCCCCGCGGCCCGGTCCTCGACCAGGCCTCCACCTCCAGGAAGCAGCCCGTGACAGCTAACTAACACCCAGGTACCTAATTTACTGCTAGGTAACAGGGGCATAGGGTGAAAGAAACTCTGCCCATTGTTTCTCGCCGGCGACTGGGATCGAACCCAGGACCACAGGATCACAAATACCGCGTGCTGTCCGCTCGGCCGACCGGCTCCCCAGTGGGGAGGACACTTTTCAGTCAGAGAATCTTAGGCAAGGGAAGGAATGACGTTCTGGTATTTGGTGAATAAGGGTGCATATATGGGGAGGGGGGGGGGGCAAAGGGTAGGCTGAGGAGCTCTGCTCGAGGTCAACTGCTGACCAGGATGCTGCCCACAACAGTTGCCTAACTCCCAGGCACCTATTGTAACCGCTGTGTGAACAGAAGTGTGAGGTCCACAAGGCCAACTACTGACCTTCCTCACTTTGCCTCATAAGTGTGGCAACTCCCGGGTACCTATCTGGCCGCTAAGTGAACAGAAGCATCAGGTGAAAACGTGCCCAACTGTCTCTTGTCTCGATCGGGGGTTCGAACCCCGGGATCCTTGGTTGTTAACAGACGACGCGGACTTCTGCCCAACAGGGCTCATATAACGTGAGCCAATTGCGCATCCCACAACACCTTGTTTTGGGCAACAGTCAACTGGCCCCTGACCAGAGAGGTATTGTCCACTACCTGGGTCAATATAATAACCATAATAATAATAATAATAATAAAGACAACAGACAATAATGCTAATAATAATAAAGGGACTTGCTTGGGTTAATAGTCAATAGCCTTGTGACCAGATTGTTTGGTGTAAGTCAATAGCTTCGTGAGGCGGTGCTGGGGGCAGCAACCGCCCCACTCAGCCTGAGGGGGTCTTCAGGGACTTGTAAAGCGTCCAGTTGTCAACCCTGATCACGATCCACGTTAATGGACCATCGTATGAGAATTGAGATTCACAGTAAGTTACAGCAACCTGCAGCTTGGGTAGTTGTGTGTGTGTGCATTCACCTAGTTGTGCTTGCGGGGGTTGAGCTCTGGTCTTTCGGTCCGCCTCTCAACTGTCACTCAGTCAACTGTTACTTACTACTAACTATTCCCCCCCCCCCCCACACGCACACTAAGGTGCGTCCAGCATCTTGTGTTCCTCACGTGTGCCCCAAAGAATGAGGTGATTTGATAAAATGCTATGCCCAAGATTACTATCCGAGTGCCGGCGGTGGGGTGGTTCAAATAGCTTCGGCTATCACCTCATTTTGTCCGGTCGTGATGGTCAAGTGGATTAAGGCGTCTTGTACATACCAGTTGCGTTGCTCCTGGGAGTATGGGTTCGAGTCACTTCTGGGGTGTGAGTTTTCAGTTGCATATTGTCCTGGGGACCATTCAGGCTTGTTCGCATATATATATATATATATATATATATATATATATATATATATATATATATATATATATATATATATATATATATATATATATATATATATATATCATATAATATATATATATGATATATAATGTCGTACTTATATATATATATATATGAAGGCCCGATTTAATATATTATTGTGAAATAATCTCTTGAGAGATTGAGCTGCTCTCTCTACATGAAGTTACGTATTTTATTCAAGATTAAGATGCTACCTTCAAGATACGTCTCCCAGTAGCACAAAACGTTTTGACCAGGAGGCAAAACGTACCCAAGACCCCCCTACTCCACTCCCTCCACGTTGGCTCGTCATCAACCAGCCAACTACCCTTCCCAGCCTGCCTGCTCCTGATTGGTGACTCGCCGACTGCACACCTGCACACTGCACTTCAGCGCCCTCTACCTGAGTCGATGTCTGGGCTTGGTCCAGCCATTGAAGTCAGAATATCCTTGTGCTCTCAAGCAGTGAACAACTAACTGATATATGTGTATCAGCTGGATGTCTCGCAGCTAGCACCATATTCTCAGCACCTAATTACTTTTCACCTTTAACGTTATATTATTGTAGAGTAACTTCATCCCTATTATTCATTTACGTTATATTGTTTTTGACTTGTTCTTTGCACTGTACATTGCCAAGGGATTGTCTTTGTTTATATTTTGTTTTCTATATTAAATAAAGTTTCATTGTTCATACTTTGTGTTTTGCGTGTCTTCCCTTACTTTATCACAGACAAACAGGCAAGCAGTCTATCTTTTTTTTTTGTAAGTGTGACTAGGCATTGACACCTGCCATTGGAGGACTGCCGAACATGTACACTCCAACACTTTCCCGTCACATTTAATGGGGGCCTGTCCATGGAGCTTCACTCAGGTACTAGTACCAGAACGTCAATTTGTGGTTAGCGTACTTGGCTTTGATACAGTTGCTTTTCAATATTTTCATTACTTTTAATATTTATATGGTGCTGTGTGTATTGTGCATTCCGAGAGTAGCATATAGTGAGTGTTGGATAACTTTGGATTACGTGGTGACTGTAGGCAGTCATTCTCTTAATTGGTCATCCCTCCCTCCGTGTTATTACTCGTGTTTTCCACCTTTTGTACCTAGGATATTTCTCAATCTCAGACAGATCATCATTTTTGGTACCTTGGTACTTTGGTTTGTCTTCGGGTCAAAGCACTCTATTTTCTGCAATCCGACCGAAGGAGGGGGAAAGAGGGCCATAGTTCCTCTAGCACGGACTACGTTGCTGAGTTGGGACCTTAGCAGCAGTTCTCGTCACCAGTTGACACTCGCACCCCTACACGTCGGTCAGAGATGATGATATTTACTTAGGTAGGGAATTAGCTTTTTTTTCAGAGCACAAAGCTCGCTAATTCTGTAAGTATCACATATCATTTAGTGGGAAAACCCTTGCTTCTGTCCTATAGAGACTCGGGAAGGTATGCCTACATTCTTGGACTACCTTTTTCACTTTTGGAACAATTAAATGTTTCATTTGTTTTAGAAACTCAGTTTCATTTATTTAGTAGGATTTTCTTGCCCTTATTCTCTTACATTGAGTACCGGGTACAAGATTTCCTGCGATTTTGGTTGACTAATCATTTACCATTCTAAAATTAACATTAATTGTTAAATATTAAATTCCACAGGATAGTTACCAGTTGCCACGTTATCCTGTTACTGACACTTACCATATCACAAGTATTCGTTGTACATTTATTTGCTATTTTTCACCATGTTTCGTCTCCCAGCTTTTCGTAACGATCCAGCAGGTGAAA